TCTCAATAATAGGGCCAAGCTTGCCTATGTAGGATGATTTAAGAGATGTGAGTAGAACTGAATGTTCCTGAATTCTTCCCACTTTCCACCAAGGTCTGCTATCATATTCATAATTGAAAGTATTATATTCCTTTGAGCTAATGTACTGTTCAAAACAAATATTAACTGTGAGAGATTAATGTTACCCTACATCACCTGTTGTTATTAATAATAATAAGTTAGTATTTACATAATGATATTGAGGTTTTCAAACTCCCTTACATATGTCTGATCCTTACAACTCTGAAGTAGGTGCTATTCTTATCCCCATTTTATAGATGAGAAACTGAAGCTTAGGGAGGTTAAGTGACTTGTTCAGATCACAAAGCTAGGCAGGATTTGAACTCAGGTCTTCCTGACTCCAAGTCTAACACCATGATTACAATATCAAAAATGAGGCCTTGCAGAAGAAATGGGATATGGCACTAATAAACTTAGATTAGATTATTTGAGTTTAGAGATACCAAACCATAAGGATTTTGAGGGCAAGGACCTTCTATTTTACCACTGTACAGTTCTGTACAGCTCCAGATCTGTGCTCCTGTACTGATCTCAATGCTTTGGACATCACTAGCAGAAGGTAAATTTGCAATACATTTTTGTTGAACTAGGGCAGAGGTGGGGAATCTGTGGCCTCAAGGCTGCATGTCCTCAAGGACATAATAATAATAATATATAAATATAAATACATAAAAATAAATAATTAATAAAAGGATCTGTTCTATGAAGTTTGGATTCAGTCAAAGGGACACACCTGAAGACCTAGAGGGCCACATATGGCCTCAAAGCCTCGGGTTCCCCACCTCTAAACTAGGGACTAGAAAAGTTCAGAGTTTAGACTGCTGCCCTGGGAGGGCAGGCCTGATTGGGGTATTGTAGTGAAGGGCCCTCAGTAGCTATCATACAATATGCAAGCACTGGGAAGGATCCTAGAGGGAAGGACACCATGAGAAACAAACTTGACTTTTATACAATTTTACCTCCGGCCAACCCTCCTCTAAAGTCCATTTTGGCCCAACCCAGGGTGAGTGAGGTCCTCACCAGAGAAGAGGCTGGTGGTGAGGATGATGTTCCAGACCCAGCGCTCGCCTCCAATCTGCCGGTAGAAGTGGCTGGACACATAGCCAGCAATGCAGCAGGTCAGAGCATACAGCAAGATGGCTGCTGAGTTGATGGCGCCATGGCGGTGCACATTGAACATGCCCAGCAATGCCATGATGATGATGCCTACGGGGTAACAGTGTGAAGCCTGCATTAGATCTTCCTTATCCAACCCCAGAAGTCCCTACAGGAATCAGCCTTTCCCTCACTCAAACCCTGGAGTTCCAATGGAATAATCTGTTCCCTCTTATCCACCCTGCACCTTTGATGAAATTACAATTTTTGTCTTAAACCTGTAGACCCATAGGTGGGGAACATACTTTGCCACTCTCCTACTTCTCAGGAAGGAGAACCAGACACTCCCCAGCAAAAGAGTACCACTACTTGAGAGGCCTGGGCCATGCCACCTCCCCCAACACGTTAGGAGAAGAGCCCTAGATGGCCTCACTTCCTAGGTCTTCCTTAGCTGGATCAATAGTCTCATTCCCTAGGGAGATATCTTGTTCCCCTCACCAGTGCCAAGAGCCAGGAACTGGGTACCCACACCAAGCACAGCACAGAGTAGACCACGACATGGGGGAAAGCGGAAAACATCAGTATGGATAATCTTCCAGCCATTGTCACCCTGGTCAAAGTCATCAGTGGAGCTACCAGAGTTTGGCTCCTCATCCAAATTGTAGCGGGCTAAGTCATTACGAAGGACTCGCATGAGGATGACAGCTACAAATCCCACCAGAAGAAACACCAGCACCATAGAGTTGATAATAGACAGCCAGTGGATCTCGAGTGTTCGAGGGAAGAAGCCACCATCATCACCATGGCGCCTATCACCCCGACGTTCTGCTGAAGTCTCAGACCAGTGCACACTGTAAGTGTGAGTGAGGTCCAGAGGCTCTTCAGGCCGTACCACATCCAGGCTATGGGGCTTAACATCACGAACTGAGACATTGGCAAAGACAATTCGATCCCCATGGAACTCAAGGTGAAAATCCAGGTGAGTCCAGAGTCCTATCTTGTGACTATGTGGAAGGAAACCACTCTCTTCCATGTAGCCCACAAAGCCACGTATTGGCAGGTCATCCACCACAAACTCAAAGTAGTATAATTCTTCAATGGCCTGGCGTAGCCGCTCAACCTATGAAAGATAGACAGGATTGGACAAGATCTTCTCAGGAATAAGGTGGAGGAGAACTTGATTATATGATAACCAGTCCATTCTCCTGAGGATCCTCCAGAGGGGTGAAAATGACCTTATGGTTTTAGGACTAGAAAGGAAGAGGATAAGAAAAGATGAGGAGACCATGTTTCCACACGGTCTGAATCCTGCTCTAAAGCAGGATTTACTAGAGAGGATTTATGGAAGAGAACTGATATGGAGAAAAGGAAATATCTGACAGCAGAGTGGAGAGAGTGATAAATCTTGAGTCAAGAGGAACTTGAGTTCAAATCTAGTATTAAATACTTACTAGCTGTGTGACCCCAGACAAGTCACAAGACTACTGCCAGCTTCAATTTCCCTACCTGTAAAATGTTGATAATAGCACCTACCTCCTAGGGTTGATGCAAGGATAAAATGAGATATTTGTAAAGCCCTTTGTAAACTTAAAGCGCTATGTACATGCTACCTATTACTATTATAAGATATTTATTGGATGAAACAATCTATTTGAGGATGAAAGATAAAACATTATTGCAAAAAAAAAAACCACCCCAAAACCCAGCAGCATGGTAAGGCAGAAAGACCAGCAAAGTGGGTGAGTGTTAGGAAGTTAACAGCTTCACTAGATATCTCTGACCCTCATCTTCTTCATCTGCAAAACTGGAATAAAAATTCCTGCCCTCACTACCTTTTAGGGTGAGGAAAAACACTGAAGATTAGAACATGCTATGAACGTGTAAGGGGTAATTTTAATAGGGGAAGAGGTAAGCAGTGACCCCCATAGACATGCTGACCTGGGCAAAAGTTAACTGCATCTGGCAGAGAGTCCGTTTCTCAACATTCTCTCTGAAACGGATCTGATACATGGACTCAGCCATTCGGTCACCATCCAACACTTCGCCCAGGCTGAGGCTCTTGTGTCGGATCTTTTCAGGGCAGCAAACAGGCAACTGGTAGTAGTGGTAGGTCTCCTGGGGGTTGTGGTAAGGCCCCACCTTGTTGACATACAGCATGACACGGTCTCCAGGCTGATAGTGGGTCTCACTGGTCACCCCAGGAATGTGGCCAGAGCCCAAGAGCAGCAGTACTGGCAGCCACAAGCAGGGCCTGCCTTGAAAGGTGTCCAGGGCTGTCATCCTGAAGGCAGCCTGACCTGGCGGGAGAGTCACTGTGTCACACAAACCAAGCCCGACCCTCTCTTCCCAATCATGCCCTAGAAACTGGCACAATGTGGCCTATGCCAGGGCTTCGGCTGTGTCTTCTGCGTGTAAAATGTGGGTGGACGAGGCTCCTCTCCAAGGCCCCTTCCAGTTCTAAGCTCCAGATCCATGATCACTCACTATGTGTATGAGCCCTAGGGAGGTCACTTCACTTGCCCAGGCCTCAGTTTCCTCATTTGTAAAATGAAGATGGGCTAGATGACCTCCAAGGTCTCCTTCCAGCTCAAAGCTAAGGGGTCAGACCCTCTATCCTGCCCAGAAGGGCCCCGAAGCCTGCCTGGGTGAATGCTCCCCTTCCTTCCCACTCAGGACCAGGCCCAGCTGGCGGCCAGAACAGCTGAGAGACCCCGGGCGCACCCCAGCCCCGCCGGCAGCCTACGCGCCCCGCCCCCGCTCCGTTTCTATGGAAACTTCACTGGCTCTAAGCTCTCCCGCCTCCAGAGCCCTGGGGGTTCCTCACCTAGCGCGGGAGGGGTGACCGAGGCGGCGCCGGGGGCGGCCTCTGCGGGCCCCTTCGCTGCCCACGGGCTCTTGGTTGGGGTCTTTTCCAGAGCAGCGGTAGCGGCGCAGGAGAGGTCCTGATAGCCAATGGACCAACGGTTCCGGGCTGACCCAGGACCCGCCTGTTTCCAGCACCAACGCTGGGTGCAGCTTTAAAGCTGATTCGACATCTTTCTCTCCCACCTCCGCCCCCCCCGCCCCGCGGCAAAGCCTTCTAGGAGCACTGTCTCTTGGCCAGGCTGGCCCGCCTCTAACCGCGGTGGGGGTGTTCTTCCGGCAAACTGCGTGGGCAGCCCAGGACACGTCGAGATTCCAGACTTCCGCCTCCTAGAGGGCGGGGACTTCAGTCGTCGCCGCAGCCCGTGGGGGCTTCAGGAGCCCATGATAAGCCACGCCCCCTAGCTTAAAAGGCCAGAGAGGCTCGGGGTCCTAGGGTGCAAAACCACCTTTGTTTCCCTTTGAGGTGCTGCTGCCCCGAGTTAGCGTCGTATGGGCATGCAGCTTCCCTGCACCAGGGTTTGTGGAAGGGACTCTAAGAGCCCCCCCAGGCCAAGCCCCTCCAACCCCACTAGCCATCTCTGGAGTCCCTGTCAGGGTTCGGGTCCAGAGCATGGGTGACGACGGTCAGACAGAGGATGAGGAGATGGGGAACCAGGAGAGTTGTTACGTTGTCATTTTACAGACGAGAAAACCGAGCCCCAGAGAGGTTAAGGAGCTCGTAGCAGTGGCTGTATTTGAACTCAGTCTTCACTCCAAATCCAGAACAGGCACCTTTGGATCTAAGTCTCCATGGAGCATTTATTCGAAAAACCTTAAGAACCTACCCCGGGGGGGTGCTGCTAGGCGGCGAAGTGGTTAGAGCACCAGCCCTGGAGTCAGGAGGACCCGAGTTCAAATTCGGCCTCAGACACTTGACACTAACTGTGTGACCCTAGGCAAATCACTGGATAATCCCAATTGCCTCACCAAAACAATAACAAAAACCCACCAAAAAAACGTACTCCTGGCAAAAAAACAAAACCACATCGTGCCTCCTATTTGATGCCGTGACTGTCTGCTGATAAAGGAGCTGAAAAGTATATCCAAATGCACTGGAATACAGAATATAATGAAACACAAAGGGTGGGAACAACACGATAGGAGAGACAAAGAGATCGTGATTTACAAAGGTGGGTGTTGGGGGCAATGGGGTTAATGGGGGCAAACTGCCTGGAAAGCTTAGGCCAAATTCTCCCTCATCTTGCCATCTTCACCAGATCTCTTCTCCCTCAAAGATCCTGGAGGCTACTTTCTTCAGCCCTCTGATTGGCTTCTAACCCCCAGGAACGAAATGTGGTACCTGCCCCAAAGAGTTATTTAGGGTATTCGTGGGTCATGGGTGGGGTAAAGCGATTCTCTCACTTTGATATTTAGCCCAAGAACATTCTCCAGGGAGGAAAGACTACAAATACTACCACCATTGCCACCCCCAATTCAAATACCATCAAAATAGCTGGGGGGCATTGTGTGGCATGATTTCATGCCTTAAATTCAAGGAAGGAAAAGATTTTGGAGGAACTCATACTGAGTAGATAAAAAAAGAAGTAGGGGAGAAAGGAAAACCTCTTTGATTTTGATGCAGTCTAATGCTGGTTGTCTTCTAACTCTGTTAGAAGAAACAACTTTTTTTAGAGAGAGGGACCCAGTGGCACAGCCACCCCAAGGCACTGGGTATTTGCCCTGAGGAGAACTTGAGACTTTTCTACAAAACTCACATCACTCACAGAACTCCTCCCCCTATTCCTGAAGATAAATAGATGCTAGAGTATGACTCTGCATTGGGCTACTGTTTGGGGATGGGGGAACCCAACTCCTATTTACCCATATACACCCATCCTTCTCCAGCCCTAATACCTGCAGGCTTCAGCTTTCCACATGTACTGCTTCAGAAGGCTTCCTAAACAAATGATAGCTATTACAAAGCCAGCCAAGGGTTAGAGACAAAATCATCCCGATTTCCCGTCTATATATATGGAGAAAGCCAGACTAACCTCTGAGATGAGTGGGGTTTCTTTACTTAAGAGTGATGTTAGATTCAACTGCAGGTTCTACTCCTCTTCCTGCCTAGGATTATTTCCTTTCTAGGGACCTCCTGCTCAAGCAGAAGATTGGAGAAGACCTAGTGGTTCTCCTTGCTGTAATGATCCCTAGACAACTACCTATTTTCTGGAATTGGGAATATGACCAGCATAAGAATTTATGGCTCTAGACCCATCAGGGACAGACTATTTTAGTGAAGGATTTAGTGATGATTTATACTGTAATCTGTATGTATGGTTTTCCAGCAGAGAGGAGATAGAAGGAGCCTGCCTGCTCTTGGAAAAAGTTAAAGAAAGTTAAGAGTAGAAGGGGCCTAAGACATCATGTCATCTAATCCCATCATTTTATAGCCAAAGAACTTGAAACCTGGAGAGGGACAATTAAATAGCAAAGCTGGGACTTGCTACTTCATTGTGCTGATTCCTAAGTCCACTGCTCTTTCCACTACCTCTCACTGAGCTAGCCTTACTGAGGAAGGCTATCCTGTCTCTCCAGAACAGTTCAACAGCCTTTATTCCCTCCCCAGCCCCTTTGAGATAATGGACAGTGGCCATCTGGGTCATTCTAGATCATGAATCTGACACAGGAATAAGGATCTGTGGAGGTATCTCACCTGGAGCTGGGGAAGGCCCCTGCAGGTTCCCAAGCCATGCTCCCTCCTTGACCTATGTGGCCAGTAAGTGGGTGGAGAGCAGATTGTGATGTGTGCGGAACATGGGAACAGGGGATTCTGTAACCAGGAGGAGGAAGAAGGAACAACAGCTACTGGAGACAAAAAGAGCAGTCCACCCCTCTTCCTTCCTCTCCCCCTCCAAGTTCCTAATAGAGAACAGAGCCCTGTGACCCCAGCTGGGGTAAAAATACAGGCAAGCATTTGGGGGCCAGCTTCATTTTGGCGCCGCAGGCCCCAGCGGCTAAGGGCGTCAGCCTCCCTGGACGTCAAAGGCAGCTTCGGTGAACGCAGCCCTCCACCTGTCAATACTACTCCTACCAGGGGGCGATGGGATGTCAGCCAGATCCCGAAAAAACCACCATCATCCCATCAGACCCACCACACTGTCATGGAAGAGTATGGCTATGAAATAGGCAGGGTGATTGGTAATGGCTCTTACGGCACAGTCTATGAGGCCTATTACATTAAGCGAAGAGTCCATGTTGCTGTCAAGGTCATCTCCAAAAAGAAAGCCTCTGAGGACTATCTTACCAAGTTCCTGCCCCGAGAGATCCAGGTGGGGATGGGAGAGGAAGGCAAGAGTTTGGTGGGTCAGGTCGTTGGGGCCTTCATCAAGATAGGGCTAGGTGACCCAGAGCTCCTCAAAACAGGGCTGAGCCTTATCCATGATCCATTCATTCAACACATAGTCATTAAGCCAACCTAGATTTCCTGATTCTAAGACTAGCATTCTTTTTGAGATAACCATGTTGCTTCCCTCAAATGCCATCTTCTCCAGGAAGCCTTCTCAATTCTCCCCATTCAGCAATGACCTTGCCACTTGTAACTCCCTTAGGATTTTGTTTCACACCACATGTACTTATCATAGATGAGACAGTGCCCTCTTTTTTGGCCCTCACCCAGTAGATAAGACATAAAACATAGATAACTATAATAATAGCTAACATTTATATAGCACCTACTATGTGCCAGGACCTGTGCTAAGTGCTTCACAAATATCTTATTTGATCCTCACAACAACCTGGTAGGTAGGTGATCTTTTTCTCATTTTTACAGTTGAGGAAACTGAGGCAAACAAGTGACTTGCCCAGGGTCACATAACCAGTAAGTGTCTGGGGCCAGACTTGAACTCAGGCTTCTTGACTCCAGGTCCAGTGTCACCTAGGTAGCTGCCCCTGTAATGTATGGCATTACACAATAAATGCATCATTACATGACTGGGGAACATTAGATTTGGAACTGAGACCTGAATCCCAATCTTGCCTTTGATGCTTATTAGCTGTGTGACCCTGTGCTGACTACTTAATCTTTCTGACTTTAGGTTTATTTGTAAAATGAAGAGAACCTAATCCATAGTATTATCCCTTCAGAGGGTTGTTATAAAGACCAAGTAGGATGACTATATAAAGTGCTTTATCAACCTTAAAGTGCATTCACTAATTGATGTTAATAATTCTATTATTGATGTGGATTATAAAGGACAGGCAGGAATTCAGCTGGACAAGATGGGGAGGGAATGGGTTATGCAGTAGAGAAGAGCATGCCAGGCCCTGGAGAGGGCCTCAGGGCACATGGCCTTTGGCAGGACACAACTGATTTGACTGGAGTTCAGAGTGAAGGACAGAAATTTGAGATAAGATGAGAGAGCTAGGGTGCAATCTTGAATGCCAAAGGAGCTGGAATTTTGCTCAAGAGGCAATAGAGTCACTTGGGATTTTTAAGCAAACTAATAAATCTATGAATATGCATTATTATTCTGACAGTGATATGAAGGATAGATTGTGGGGAGCAGGAAAAGTGAATGCAGAAAGACTTAGTAGGAGGCTAGTTCAGGCATCTGATAGGGTGATAATGTATTCACTTGTACTAGAAAAATGGCAATAGTAATAGAGAAGAGAGAATAGAACAAACAGTGTTGCAGACACGAAATCAAAATAATTTAGTAACTACGTGGATACAAAAGGTGGGTGAGAAAGGAGCATGAGAGAGAACACCGAAGTTATGAACATGGAAGGCAGGATAACGGGTAAAACCACAGGCTGATACAGTGGAGTCAGAAGGAAGAAGGGCTTTAGAGGATAAGACAATAAGCTTCGCTTTACACATGTTGAGAGTAGCATGGGGTATTCTGGTGGAGATGTGCATGAAGAGCCCTTTGCAGAGAGGCTATGGTTGAAGCCTTGGGAGAGAATGAGTTTGGCAAGAAAATGGGAGACAAGAAGAGAAAAGGGTCAAGGCGAGACCCCAGAGAAAGATACACATTAAGAGGTTAGGGAGAGAAGGTATTGACAAAATCAGAAGAGTGGTTAAGATAGGTAGAAGGAGAAGCAAGAGATGGTCTATGAATCCAAGGCAGAAGAGAGTGTGATAGTCAAAACTGGGGCAAAAGTAGCAGTGAGTTGAAGGTGGATAAGGACTGGAGAGTAGCCATTGGATTTGGTGATATGTAGGTGGTGACTTAGAGAACAATTTCAATAGCAAGCTTGAAATGGAAGGAAGACTGATTGGCAGGGGCTGAGGAGAGTGATGAAGCAGAGACATTTGATACAAACTCCACTGATCCCAGGCAGTGTCCAATCCTCTCTCCAACCCAATACAGACCCCCTCTCCTATGCCAAAAGGAAAAGAGCCTAAAATGCTGATATGGACCAATCAGCTCACCTCTGCAAACAATTTGATTCTGCTCCATGATGTTAGATAGCCTGAGTTGGAGTCTTGGCTTCACTACTTACTGGCTATGTGACCTTGGACAATCACCTCACCTCTCTGACCCTGTTTTCTCATCTGTAAATGATAGTACCTTCCCTCTTTCACTGGTTCATAAGGTTGTTTTGAGATTCAGATAAAGTCCAGGGACGTTAAAGAGCTTTGTAAGCTATAAAGTCTTATATAAATACAAGGAATCACTATTGTTAATAACTTTGCTATAAAAGGCAAGGAAAGGGTTGAGAGTCAAGCCATGAGCCCTCCTCTGCCAGGTCTGATGTACTCCTTTCCTTGGGACCAGGTAATGAAACTCTTGCGGCACAAGTACCTAATCAACTTCTACCAGGCCATTGAGACCACATCTCGTGTGTATATGATCCTAGAGCTGGCTCAGGGGGGTGATGTTCTTGATTGGATCCAGCGCTTCGGGGCCTGCTCTGAGCACCTTGCCGGCAAGTGGTTCTCCCAACTCACCTTGGGCATCGCTTATCTGCATAGCAAGGGCATCGTGCACCGGTGAGGGCACTGCCATCTGAGACTTTATGACTCCCAGAGGGGGGCGGTCTCCCTGTGGCTTACCTAGCCTCCTCTCTATTAACCTCTTCCCACACATCCACACCCCTAACTCCTATCTGAACTCCTTCCTCATCATTCTCCCCACAACTAGGTCAGTCTTTCCTTCTCCATTTCAATTACCTGTTTAAGGAATTTAGAATCCTCTATGTCCAGAGTACTATACAGAGAAGCTCCACAACCCCAGGACTCTTGCCCTCTGATAGCCATATTCCTAGACCTGCTCTCCCCCACTCCATACTCCTAAACCCCAGATCATTTTTCCTAACTCCACTCCCCCACCTCCATCCTCTGACCCCTGACCCTCTAGCTCCCAGCCTAATATTAACCCCTCTCCCCAGCCCCCGCCTGACCCCCAGGCCTTCTGCTGCCGGTAGGGACCTAAAGTTGGAGAACATGTTGCTGGATAAGCGGGAAAATGTGAAGATCTCTGACTTCGGCTTTTCCAAGATGGTGTCAACTGACATCCAGAGCCAGGAGAGACCTTCCCAACACCTCACAGCCTGCTTTTCCCAACTCAGCCGGACCTACTGCGGTAGTTTTGCCTATGCCTGCCCAGAGATCTTGCTGGGGTTGCCCTACAACCCTTTCCTCTCCGACATCTGGAGCATGGGCGTCATTCTCTACACCCTGGTTGTTGCCCGTCTGCCCTTCGATGACACCAACCTAAAAAGGCTGCTTCGAGAGACCCAGAGGGAGGTCACCTTCCCAACTAACCGCCTTATCTCGCAGGAGTGCAAGGTGCTGGCCCCCCCGGGAGGGCTGGGGCCCATGGGCAGATCCACAGAAGGTGGGGTACACATCCAAACAGTACACATCCAAACAGCAGGGTCAGGGGAAGGCTCCATTCACTCTGTATGCCAGGCTCCACCCCAGGAACCTCACTTGCTCCCACTGGTCCCATGCCCAAAGCATTAGGGAAGGCCAATCCAGAATTCCCTCCAGATCAAAAATTAGTTGAGTATAGGAAAACTTAAGCCTCCATTGTTCCAAGGCAGAGGATACTGTCAGTCCCTCTTCCAAGGATCCTGATGTCTCCCTGCACTCATCCCTTATCCAAACATTAACTCTGGGCATATGCTAAGGGAATACCTGTATAGCCCTCTCCCCAAAGTAGTATTGTGGGCAGTCCTGCTTCTGTCTCAGGTCTAGATGCTGCCATTACCTGGGCAGCACAATTCAGGGCAAGCTCAGCCATGGCCTCTTTCTCCCCGTCCCAGAACCTGATTCACACGATGCTGCGCCAGGCTATCAATCGTGCTACCATCCTGGACATCGTCAAGAACCCCTGGGTGCTCAAGTTCCAGCCAGCTCGGCCCCACCATGAAATACAGTTACTAGAGGTCCTGTGTCTACCACAAAATTCCAGCACTACCAATATTGCAAGTTGAGCAGGACTGAGGAAGAAGTCAGGAAGAGGGGGTTAAGGCAGGAAGTTGGGGAGGGGGCCAGGACTCTTCCCTCTATCCACTTCTTTTTTTTATACAAGAAATCTAATTCCCATTTAATTTTATCAGCGGGGTGGGGAAAAGAAATGATTTCCCCAAGGAAAGCTTAAAAGGAGTCACTTCTAGGCTGTTATAGAGGTTGGCCTCCATCTGTAGTCTGCAAAGGTATTTTAAACTTAAATATTGGACTGTGCTTTCTTTAAAGACATATGCATATGGGTTGGGGGGAGAAATGGGAAAGAAGTATCTTGGCTCTGCATATCTCCTCCTTCAAACTTTAAAAGGTGCTGACAACCTCCTAGGTGTACCCTTCTTATCATTAAGGTCTTTTTGTATTATCAAAAATGGAAAAAGGGAGCCAAACTGTGGGCTTGTCTTAGGATCACAGAATCAGTTTTAGAGCTGGAAATGATCTAGTTATTGATTACCTAGTCTGGCATCCTCATTTTACAGAGGAAGAAACTGAGGCCAGAGAGGTTAAATGACTTCCCCAAAAGTCACAGAGTTAGCAAGTGGCAGACTCAGGATTTGAACATAGGTCTTCTTGACTCCAAATCCAGCCCTCTTGGTAAAAAGGTAATTGTACTGCAGAAATTCTACGGCAACACACTAGAAGAGTTTGATCAACTATAGCGCTGTCTACTTACATTTTACAGATCAATAGAAAACACTCACCTGATGTACACAGTGAGGAAGCTAGGAGATCCTACAAGCCCATTCACTCCTTCTCTCTAAGTAAAGAAACTGGAACAGGGACCTGAAGTAGGCATCCAGGGGCTGACAAGACATGGCAGACAATGGGGATCCATCTGCCCAGTTTTATTGAGAGTAAGGGCCTTTGTAACAGCTTCCAATGAAAAAAATGGTCCAGGGACTTTTCTCCTTCCTCCCACCTTCCCCACCTTCAAACACCCTCGCCCCCATCCCCAAACAGAAAAACAGTCCTACTCCAGAGGTGTGCTAGGTGAGGCATCAAGTTCCTCAGGAAGGGGCAGACTTACTACCCTCACCAGTGCCTCATGAGGTTTAAACCCTTCAGCTCAGTACACTGGCACTTGGGGGAAAAGAGGGGAATTGGATGGAGTTTCAAGAACATCAAGGCATTCTTTTCAGGCTACCCAATCAACTAATTGCTTCAGTTCCTTTTCCTCATCAGCCTTGGAAGCTAAGGGGAAAAGAGACAAAGCAAAGAAGAGTTAAGTTCCCTAGAATTCTCCAACCAGCCCTCCCTATGATAACTTAAGGCACCATGAACCAACTTTCCCCTGACACGGATCTTAACAATGTGAGGCTACTACCTGTCTCAAGACAGGAGGGGATATTACCCTTCCCATAGCCAGTGTAGTAGTCAGGGCTGCTCCTCTGGCCAGGCAGTGAGTTCTTAGTACCTGGACTGGTGGGTAAATGAGTAGAGGGGACATCAGGCAGCGTGGCTGGTGCTGCTGCTTCATCCTCTTCCATATTCAGCAGCTCTTGGTTCAATTTCTCCTGCTCTAGTTCCTCTAGTTCCTCCAGCAGCTCATCCTGGAAATGGAAAGTCCAAAAGTTTATCAGGAAACCCTGTACTGCTAAGAATTTACTGCAAAGACCCAATGCCTCAAAGTCTCCTCCCTCAAAGCCTCACAAATTCCCCAGTGCTATACCTGGATTCCTTCTACAAGCCTCAACACTACCTCCATCCAATTACCTCATCCACATCATCCCCAAAGCCCACAGGCCGAGAAATAGCATCAGAGATTTCCTGGGCTATTTCCTGCTGCTCTGTGATGTCAGACATCAGCTCATCCACCTTGTTGATGTCCCTGTGGGTGGAGGTATAGGTAAAAAATCAGGGTAGCTCTTGCCTTTCATCCTGTGGTGGAAAAAAGCCACTCCCATTCCCACTGAAGCCTCATGTTTTAATGGGCCTAACACTTCTTGGCAGAGGGAACCAAGAGAAGTCTGCAGATGGGTAGGAACATGTTGCAAAGAAAGGATATGTAGAATCTCCTGTGCTGAGAGGTGTTTGTTTTTTTAAAAGAATCAGGAATGCTGGCCTGCTACTTTCTCCCATGTGTCTTAACCAGGGGAAGGGAATGCTTTGAAGTAGGGAATTAGATAACCTATAGAAGATTCTATGATTCTACAAAGAAAGGGATGTGACCCTGTGGCCAAGCCATTCTTTTCTCTTTTCTTTGTGTTTTTTTAAGGCAATTAGGGCTAAGTGACTTGCCCAGGGTCAAAACAGCTAGTAAGCATGACGTGTTTGGTCTGAGGCCGTATTTGAACTCAGGTCCTCCTGACTTCTGGGCCAGTGCTCTATCCATTGCGCCACCTAGCTGCCCCGGCCAAGCCATTCTTTCCCCAGTGTCTGTCCTTCCCCTCCCCTTTCCCCCGTACCCACATGTCCTGGTGGGCCTTGCTCATGGCACGGGCAGCCAGCCCCATGGTTCGAAGCACTTCAGCATTGGTGGTGGCATTCTCAATGGCTTCACGCTGGAATTCCAGGGTAGATAGAGTCCCATCTGTCTGTGCCAGCTGTTGTTCCAGCCTCTTCTTTCTGCGCAGCGCCTGCAGGGCAGCTGACCCAGCCCACAGCCCACCCATAAGTGCCAGAAGCCCCCAGCTCTTCCCCCTGCAGTGGCTCTGTGCTCTACGCCTCTCCCCTAGTACCTCTCTTGTCCTTGGTCCCATGCTTCTTGGCAGTCTGAAGTTCCTGCTGGATCTTCTGCTCTAGAAACTCCTGCTTCTTGATCAACATCTTTTCTGTCTCCTGCAATTTCTGAACTGCCTCTTCAGGGCTTGGGTCCTTCTCCTTCTTCCCTGCTGGGTCCAATGCAGCAGGGGGCAGTGTTGAGTAGGAAAAGCTATTCCCAGTCACTTTAGCTCCCAGTTCCCATTGGCCACAGCTGGAGAAGGAACCTCAGGCTTCTTTTCAAGCCAGAGAACATGTGTTGGAGGGGAGGGTGTTGGGGGTGGTAAAGAGACCCTAGCCAGGAAGTCTTGGCCCCGTGAAGAGATAGGTCTGAGCCCGGAAAGGGTCCAATGTGCCCTGTGCTCCTGCCCTCAAAATCCTGAACTTTTCTACTTAAGAGTTAGAGGGCAAAGTGGGGGAAAGGAAGGTGTTTCTAGGAGGTCCCTGGCTGGTGGATCCCAAGACTGCTGGTGCAGGGATTAGGGGCTTCTCCCCTCATAGCCTCTAGGATTTGGATGACTTTTCTACCCTCCCGAGCATCTTTCCCAGCCCCTTAGAAAAGCAGGCCCCCAAAGACGGGCAGCCACGTCTCCATCTACATGGAGGCAGGGTTCCGCCAGGGCTCACCCCTGCCAAAGAGCCTCCCCAGGCCGCTCATCCTGATTCCTGATCCCTGAGGAGCCTCGACCCCAAACTTGGTTTCGGCCTCCCCGAGCCCTTCCCACTTCCGTCTTTCCCAGCGGAGACGGCCCCTCCCGCCAGCCCCGGCCAATCCCAGTCCAAGGCTCTGGCTCATCATCATAGGGAGTCTCCAGCCTGGAAACCTGGGAAAGTGTGCCCAGACTAGCGTGCTTGTCACATGATAGGAGTCACCTGACTAAACACCCCCCCCTCAAAGTTTTAAAGGGCCCCCCGATGTTTCCAGGGCAGTCACTGAATGAAAAGAGCTGTTTGTCCCAGGAGGCAGAGCTGGAGGACATTGATTTAGATCGGAACAAGGAAACTGAGGACCACAGACAAGGTGGAAAGTTGTGGCTCTGCCCTTTCCCTCCCTGGGACCCTGTCCCAGGGCCTCATGCTCATGGCACCTGCCGGAGCCCCCTTCAGGCCCTTCCCAGCTCTGCACCTCTATCTCTTTGATGGCCACAGAGATCAAGCCATTTGCCTAAGGATGAGAACCCATGTGCTCTAAGCCCAATCTCTCCTCTTCCCCTTTTTGGGCAGACACAATCCTAGAGGGCCCTGGGGCACCAGCCTGGCATGCACTGAGCCTTTCCCAGGTTGCCAGGTCCCCTTCCTCTAGGATGAGCTTTGGTGTGCTTGTATAGAGGCAGGCAGAGGAAGTGCAGAAGTATGTCATAGGAAGTTTTATTTGCTGTGAGGAAGGGATGTTGTGATAACACACCAAGGAACAGACAGCACTGGGAAGCAAAACCTGGAATCAGTCCTGGGCAGTGTTGTTAGCCCATATATGTGAGGACAAAGAAGACTTACACTAAGGGAAGGGTCTTATGTGCTCACACACAAATGTTTTATACAATTCACAGATGAGCTGAAAATGCATTCCTCATTCTTGTTCTCTTCCTGTCCATGGCCAGGGCTCCCATCTGCAGCGCTGAATCTGAGAGTTTGTCTCAAGACTTTGCAAATGTTTCTAGGCCTTTAGTCAGAGTGTGCAGATTCATTTCACTCTGGACATGAATACAGGTGACACCTAGGAAAGAATGTCATTTTAGGAGATTAGTCTTACCTCTTTGTCATTTTGGGGCCCTTAGCTGGCATGCAAACTAGCCACCCCCTATGTATACTTATATACCTAAGGCTCCTTTCCCCCCAACAATACCATTCAGTACCCAGTTTGCTGACATCTATAATGTTCCGCTTCTCGTCATCAAAGAAGATCATTTCAGAGTAGGGAATACCACTCTTCTGCTGCAATCTGAGTGGAACAGGATGTGTGAGGACTGGAGGTTAGTTTCCCACTCCCACCATGCCTGTCAGGTAGATCCAGTCATATTTTTCCTTTCCTTTCTTCTCATCCCTGAGTACCTCTCAAAATGTGTGACCTTGCAGCCTGGATAGATTTCCTTGTGTGCAAAATATTTAGTGAGGTCAAAAAGCTCCAAGAGCTGATTGGCTCCTCGAATCTCACCGGTCCTAAGTTGAAGAAACAGTAAAAGGTTATAGGATAGAACTAAGTCAGAGATACAAAGGAAACTTGGAAAAAGCAACAGATGAAGAATGCTAAAACACAAAGTTACACAAATTACTATCTATTTTTGAATTATTAGCCTCTCAAAATTTCACAATGTAGTTGCAACACTGAAGAGGTTCCCCTCCCCACAGAACTAAAATATGATCAGACTGGAACCAAAGCAGAATTTTGAAGGTGCCTTCACAGCTGCCAAAACAATCTTCTTGATGTCTAGGTCTGACCACTGACTCACTACTCTTTTTTTTTCTTTTTAGGCAATTGGGGTTAAGTGACTTGCCCAGGTTCACACAGCTAGTGTCAAGTGTTTAGTCTGAGGCCAGATTTGAACTCAGGTCCTCCTGACTTCAGGGTCGGTGCTCTATCCACCGCGCCACCTAGCTTCCCCTGACTCACTACTCTTTAAAGGAGATAATACAGATTCCTTAGCTTTTTATTTCCAGCCATGGGCTCTTGTGATCTTTGGAGCCTTTTCTAATCCACTTGCCCTTTTCCAGTATTTCACTTCATTCCTTCTATGAATGGTATATCCCTATCGTGTCACATCACTAGTTATTTCCCAGTCTCAGCTCGAACTCTCCCACCTCAATGTTATTTAGCAGTTAGACACAGAATACAAATGCCTCTGGAAAATTAAAAGTAACAGAGAACAATGGAGGGATACATGGTAGGGTATGAGCAGGCTGCAGCACATAACCACATATGTTATACATGAGGAACTCTGAAGAAACAGGAGAGTAAAAGACATCATTAAAGAACTGTGTGATAGGCAGAGAAGATGGGCTGGTCACACGGCAGGAACAAAGTGACAGGTGGGCAGCCAGAGTGTTCCTTCCACTGGTACTTTTTTGATATCAGGAGAAAGTCAGAAAGTCTTGGGTTCAAGCACCACCTCTGACACATACTGGCTATGTGACCCTGGGTAAGTCACTGAACTTTTCAGTGCTCTAAGTAATTCTTTAAGACTATAAATTATATTTTTAAAAATTAAGTTATATTTTATTTTAAAATCTGTACCTTCTCCCTCCCACACACACCCCTTTAAGAAAGCAAGAAAAATAAAACCTGTTATAAACATGTATAGTCAAGCAAAACAAATATCTTCATTGGTCATAGCAAAAAAACCCAAAACAAAACAAAAAGTCTTTATCTATACTCTGACTCTATCATCTCTCTGCTGGGAGGTAGGTAAGCACGTTTTATCTTGAGTCCTCTGGAACTGTGGTTGGTCATTGTGTTGATCTGACTTCCTAAGTCTTGTAGGGAAGGTATGGACATGGACTGGTAGAACTTTGCTCTGACAATCTCTGTAAGTGTGAAATATGTCCGTTGTCTGGAATGCACTACTTTTTCCTTTTCAGTTTTCAGATTCTTTCTCTGCCTTCAAAGCCCAGATTAATTAGCATCTCCTCCATGACAGCCTTTCCTGATAGATCCAGCTGAAAACTTCTCTCTCCCCATACTCAAAGATTGGTCCGGCCTTCTCCTTTGCCCCCATCATACTCTAACTTGCATTATAACTATTCTTTATACTTGTTATATGCTTCCCACGTCCAGCACATGATGAACGTTTCTTGAGCGTAGGATCTGTGACATTTTCAAATCTTTCATATCCCCAATCCTTTACCACGGAGCAAAGTGCTCCATAAAAACGTGCTCCATTGAACAGGCAGTGCTTACCGGGAGGCAGCAGCGATGGTCACCCCCAGGCCATGCAGACGGTCCAGGACATCGGGCACCTCTGGATATAGCCTAACGATCTTCTCATTGCTATCCCGCACACTCCCATCCCTAGGCAGGGGCAGAAGAGGAAAGACTCAGCTTTACTCCCCCTCCCCTCCATTCAGTCCCTGAGCTTTGGCTCCGCCCCCGCCCCGCCTCACCTCACCTGTTCCTGCGGAATGGGGGCTCCACATGAGTGTCAACCCAGAAGGGCCAGAGAGTGTAATCTGCAAGGGAAAGGGGGCGGGTCTTAGCTGGCTCCAACCTGGGCAGCACCTAGGCTACGGCTCAGAGGGCCGAGCCTGAGGGCTCAGGGGCCGAGGAGGCGGGGCTTGGCGAGGATAGGAATGAAGGCTGGGGGCCGACTTGACCCCAAGGAGGGGTAAGGAAGAGAGAACATCTGCAGTCGCGCGCACCTTTTCCCTCCACGCGGTGCACATACCCAGGTCGAAGACTACCAGCTGCGGAAGGCGGGCCATAGCGGGCGGGCCCTGGGCTCCCGCAGGGGTAGTACACGCCGGCTGCTTTCAGCAAGCCACCATGTTTGACCATAGAGAGAAGCCAGCTAGAGTGCCGGTTCCCGGAATCTGTCCTGAAGCCGGTGGCGCCACCCAGAGTTGGAGCTGAGGCATGACAGAGGGCGCTATAAACACAGCGCCCTCAAGAGTTAGTACTAGGAATGGCCGCACAATCCTCCCACTGGCCTGGATCTGGGTGGTGGATAGGACTTTTTTCACCTAAGTACAAGTCGGCGCCTCCTTCCAATCAGTGACAGGATTATAAATGAGTAGCTGGAAGATCTGATCTAATCCTCATTTTATAGATGAAGAATGCAAGGCTCAGGCCAACTTGTCCTGCCATACAGGCACTTTAATTTGGCATTGCTGGGGCTGGAACCCAGACCCTCTAACTCCAAATCAGTTCCTTCCTTCTTTGAATAGTAAAATGCCCAAAAGACCCTTCTGCTCTCCATTACTCCAGGCCACCTCTCTCATTCCCATCTTCTCAGGCACCAGCATCCCTCCCTCCTTGCCTCTCACAATAACTGACTAAGCCATAACATAAAGGCAGGTAGAGCAGAGCCCTAGATAAACACTCCCTCTGTAGAATAGTGGTCATGAAAATCATAGAATGTTGTATGAACCCATTTCCCAGGTCCAGCAATGTTAAAAATTTAGCTATCCTGTTTTTCACCATCAATAACAGGATCAAATTTACTCCAAGGCCCTGGATCAAATGGCCCCATGGGTCAGTCAATCGATTACATCTGAGCACAGTTGAGAAAACATTCCAGGAGGCTGGGAAAACTCTTTATTAACAACCAAGACACAGCCATGAGGGAAGGGGCAGGCGAGACCACAAACTAAAAACCAACAGCTAGCAAAGGGCCCTGCAGGCCCAGAGGGCCGCACTGTGGGGTCCTCACAGATCTCCCAGCAACAGACAGAAACACCTGGGCATCTGTCCTGGGGAGGAAGTGGTGGTTCTGTTGTTCCAGGAAGTGGAAGGGTGTATGGCGCATCATTATAAGTGATGGGGTAAGGGAATAAAGTAGAGGGAGGTCCATCACCGCCCAAGGCCACCTCCCCCACGAAGAGCCAACACCAAATGGAGGACTGAACCCCCCTGGATCTTGTAATCAGCAGCTGTCTTCTCGTCGTTCCTGGAAAAAAGAGGAAAAAAGACAAGATGGAGACAAAGTTTCATCCTTCTTAGAACTATTTTATAGAAAATCTGCCTCCCCATACCTCCCATTCATTTCCTGATCTCGTTCCTTTATCTGTACAACTGACATGACCTTTACTCCTACACTAAACTCACATCTGTTTGCCACTGTAGATGAGTCGCTGCTGCTGTGGAGGAATTCCTTCTTTCTCTTCTACTCGCTCTTTGATCCGTTCCACCTTCAAGGGGATGAAAGGGAAAAGGTTGCTGAGGGATGGGGCCAGGGAAATGGAGAACAGTTATAGGGAAAACACTTAGGAACACGATCAGAGCACACAGAAAAAGACAGAGGGACATGGAAAGATCATAGTAACTGAGAGGAAGGGAATACATTACCTTGTCTGTGGGTTCAATGTCAATCTCAATTTCCTTTCCTGTCAGCGTCTGAAACAGGCAAGGGCTTTATTAGTGTCTGTAGCTCAATTCACCTGTATGTAATTACTCTCCTGTTGAGTGCTAGTACCCATTAACTAGATGCACCTTATCAAAGGACTTGGATTTGGAAAACCAAACATCTCAGTTCCCCTTACATCTTTAATTATGTCAATGGGCATTAAGGTTTGTTTGTTTGTTTGTTTGGCGAGGCAATGGGGTTAAGTGACTTGCCCAGGGTCACACAGCTAGTAAGTGTTATGTGTCTGAGGCCGGATTTGAACTCAGGTCCTCCTGAATCGAGGGCTGGTACTCTATCCATTATGCCACCTAGCTGCCCCCTTTTTTTTCTAGGTTGGTTTTTTTTTTTGGCTAGGTAATGGGGTTAAATGACTTGCCCAGGTCAATGGGCATTAAAAGTTTTGGTACCTGGTCTATTTTGGACTATCTATTCCAGTCACCTCTACTTGTCATTTTTTAGAACAAAATTCCTCACCAAAATCAAAGAGAACACTGGTTCTGCTTTTGATGAGATACCAATGAGAGGTGTCCTAAGAAAACTAATTAATGGCAGAAACACAAAGACCAGATGTTACCCTGGTGTATAGATAACCATAAGGATCTTCACAGATTAACAGGGATCATCTTTGACTAGACTTCAAGAACCACTAATCATTTTCTTCTTCAAAATCTTTCTCTGGGGGCAGCTAGGTGGTGCAGTGGATAGAACACCAACCCTGGATTCAGGAGGGCCTGAGTTCAAATCCGGCCTCAGACACATAACACTTACTAGCTGTGTGACCCTGGCAAGTCACTTAACCCCACTGCCTAGCCAATAAAAAAAATAAATAAAATTTAAAAAAAATCTTTCTCTGACTTCTATCAATTTCATTAAAATTTTGAAGTGTGATGGCCCTCAACCAACTCCATTATATGCTAGTGTCCCTCACCCAACGCAAGCCCAGAACTGTACCTTCAACTCTAATTTAAAATAAAAATAATCATAGCTAGCATTTCTATAGCACAAAGGTTTTCAAAACATTTTAAAATATTTCATTTTATCCGCATAATCCTGGGATGTAGCAGCTATTATTATCCTCATTTTACACACAAGGAAACCGAGGCAGTCAGTAGTTAAATAACTTGCCCAAGGTCACACAGCTGTTAATGTCTCAACCAGATTTGAATTCAAGTGTTCCTGACTCCAGGTCTAGTGCTCTATCCACTGTGTCACCTTTGTACAATTGCGAAAATCAAGACCCAGGCTGTCTGCATATAAGCCAGATCCCTGACTTGGCCTCTACTCTTGTCAGAGGTTTTTCTGGGCTAACCAAACATTAAGTATCAATTCAACTTCCTTGTAACCAATATTTCCCCTTGCCCTCCTGCACGGAAAAGTGTGTGTGTATTTATACATTTAATTCTATTCTCACTCATCATGGATACATTCTACATCTTTGGACCATAGCTTTATCATCTTTATCCTCTACTGTGTTTCCTGAGATCACTGTTTTCAATGGTCTCCCTTTATTTCCTAACACATCCAATCTATTCTTTTCAAGAAGATATACTCTCAGAATGGGCAAAGGATAACTGGACAAATGTTACAGTGCCACACACACATTGGTGCTGCTAAACAACTTTATTTTTATTTATTTTCTACTCACATATTTGTATTTACTATACATTTGTGGGTCTAATCCACTAAATTAAAATGTAGCCACTGAAAGGAAGAAGAATAATGTTCAAACTATGCTTTGTTTATTTCTATCTAACTTGCCTAACCAAGCTACAGCACCCAATATGCACTCACTCACACATAAGCCAGGAAGATAATGGATGTGCAGTCCTCAGATTTACATCATATGATGTGAGATAGACCGTTAGAGAAAAGACTCTCTTGCCCATGTGGAAGTCATAGGATCACAGATCTAGAATTGAAAGAGACCTCAGACTCCATCTAACACAACCCTAAAGAAAAAGAATTATTTTTTTCTTTCTGTACCCCATGTACTAGCCTAGAGAAAGTCTTTAATACTTGATTGATATACAGATGAGGAAACTGACATCCAGAGAAGGTCCTTGCCCAAGGCCACAGAGGAGTTAAGTACTGAATAGACCTATAAGGGCAAATATTACGTTACCTCTTTTTCATCTGAGAGGTAAGAGGAGCAGGAGTGTAGGAAATCCTTAGCCTCTCTGGCCTCAGGTCCCGGGGGAATCTATTTCTCCAGCCTTCTTTTTCCTCATATGCCCACTTCCTACCTGGTACCAGAGTATACACAAGAGCGAGTATTGCAGGGAGCCCTTTCTTCCAAACTTCCTGTAGATACCCTCATTGCTCCCCTTCCCCTTTTTCCCTCCAGGATGCTGACCCCCATCTCCACTCTCATGAAAAGAAGCCTAGAGACCTTGCCCTACTCCAGCCTCATACTTGGCCAACGGTAAGGGAGACACTTTGAATGAGCAGGAAGTTACCAACCGCAATCTTTCCAGTAATGTGGAGGACCACTGGACTTTCCCATGTCCCCTGACATTATAAGCTCCAAACACCTGGCCATTATTATCTGACCTGCTGATACAATCTAAGGACCTATGGGCTTTGCTATCTGCCTGACTATACTCTGAGCCCCCCTGGGCCCTTATATCTGCTCTGCAGCTGAATTCTCCTGTATATTGCCTCCCCAATCAGAATGTATGCTCCTGAAGAGCAAAAACTGATCTTTCTATAATTTATTAAGCACACAGTAAATCAGGAAACTAGCAATCACGTGCTTAGTAATTACTTTGTTCATTTACTCCTCTGGAAAACTTTCATTATCTGAAGTCAGAGGAATGGAACATGCTGTCATTCTCCAGAGCACTGAGGCCCTTCATTATCTGTATATTGTGACAACTTAGGGCAGAAGGGACTAGATGCTATCAGGGCCACAGGTCCTAGAGATGAGTCCATGGTCCCAGAGCCTTCCCCTCTGGGGGAGGTGCCCATGGATGTGGAATGTTGCAGAAGCTGTCAAACACAACTGCCATTTTCCTGGCAAGCAGCTGTGCTTCCTTCTTGCCTTGGACAAGACAGTCTACCTCCTCCACTGGGGCCCTCACTCTTAACTGCTAAGTTCACTGATCTATCTGTGTGCTCCCAGTGCCCTCCTACTGCTTTCCAGCCAACTTCCTTCCCCTGACACCCAGTTTTCTGAGTTCTACTCTGAAGAGCAATCAAGTCAACATGTTAATCAGCTGTCACATAACTTGCCATTCCTGTGATTTTCCTGATCACCACTCCGCTGGATACATTATCTTCCCCAATTAGAATGTAAAGCTCCTTGAAACCAGAGAATGTCATGCTTTTGGTATTTCTTAGTGCACAGCTTGATATCTGGCACCTATAAGTGCTTAATAAATGCCTTTTAATTTATTCATCATCCGTTTTTGCCTGCTGGGTGAATTCAATCCCATTCAGCTAGTATCTGCTGAATTACTGCTTAGGTCTATGGAGGACACAAAGCACAAGACATGGTCCTTGCCCTTACCAGAGAGATGGGATATAGAAACATGAAACTATCAGACACAAAACCAAGAGGGAAGAAATAAAAAAGTATGCACTGAAGTGCTAAATTGAATAAAATTAAATATAATAATAATAGTTTTATGGAGGCTTCAAAGCTTGCACAGAATTATACACATATTATTGAATTTGATCCTCACAGCAACCCTGTGAGCTAAGTGCTATTCTTATCCTCATCTTACAGAGGAGGAAACTGAGGCACCAAGAAGTTAAAACATGATTTGCCTTGGGTCTCACACCTTACAAGTGTCTGACGCAGGATTCAAATGAATGAGATGAAGTGTATTTTGGAAAGAGACTGGTTTAAGAAGATGAATTCAGTGTTTGGTATAGTTTGAAAAGACAAAAGATGTCTAAATGGAAATGTCTAACAGGCAGATGGATACATGGGACTAAAAGGTGGGTGAAAGCCAGATTATTTGTTCAAAAAATGAAAGCAGTATCAGTATGCAGAGAAAGCACTGACTGATCCTTGAGGAATAATCAGTTTATGAGACAAAAAGAGCCAGTGAATAAGGCAACAAGGGATCAGTCAGTGAGGCAGGAAGAAAACTAAGATGGTAAATCATTATAAAAGAAAAAGATGGAAAGAATTTTAATAAGAGAGAGTGGTCAACTTTATCAAATGTTCCCAAGGAGACACAAGAGCAATTGGGATTTGGGGAGATGATCTTACTAACAGCAGTTTTAGCAGCCATAGTAAGCACAGAAGCCACATTTCCGGAGGGTTGGAAGAGAAGAAAATGGAACAAAGCCAGTAAAAGATTACTCATTCAAGAAGTTTAGCTGTGAAAGAAAGAAGATGGAAGGGGTAGTAAGACTAAATTATTTCATTTAACCCTGCATACAAGACAAAGGAATAAGAAAAGGAGTTTGTTGAGGGGTTAAGATTGAAGATGCTAGACCAAAATTAGTAAGGGGTGGAGACAAATCAACCCACAGTCAGAAGCAATTATGTGATCAAGCACAGATTTAGAGAAGAAAAAAGATATTTTTTTTCCTGAGCCTGGAGAAAAAGATGAGAGGAAAGATGAAAAGATTTATGTTAGAGTGAATATGAAGGTATGAGGGAGCCATATTGGATAGCCTCAATCTACTCAGTGAAGTAGAAGGTAGGCAGAATTGGGATGTGAGAAGACGGCTAGAGTGGGAGTATGCTAGGAAGTCAGTATTATTGCTAAGCAAAGTTGAGGGTTAGGATCATAAATTGGAGCAGAACTACGAGGTCATCTAGTTTGACCCTGTTATTTTGCAAATAAGGCCAAGAGAAATTAAGTGGCTTGCTCAAAGTCACACAGGTAACAAGTGACAGAGCCAGGATTTGAAACAGGTCTACTTATTTCGTGTCTAGTTTTTCTACTATAGCATGCCTTCTGGTTGTACCCCGTGAATGATCACTCTGCAGCTTTGGAAAAGAAAGTTTGGCAGAAATTAGGTTTGATTGGCCTCCTGAACTTTATACTACAATAAGCTCCAATGAATATATGATAAAAATATAAAAGGTCACATCATTTTAAAAAATTAGAGAAAAATAGAAGTACTTTGCAAATCTATGAGTTAGAACAGAATAGGCATAGGAGTGATCATAAAATATAAAATAAATAGCTTTGATTACACAAAATTGGAAAAGACTTGCAGGAACAACATTAACACAACTAGGATAAAAGAAGGGGGAGGTGATAGTTAGGAAAGCACTGAAATAGCTGCCCCAACCATGTAGCGTAGGCAGGAGGAAAGTTGTGGTGCTGATGGTGGGGAGAGAAGATGAACAAATGAATGGACAAGCGGATGGAAGAAGAGTGGCATCCGTTATGTCTTAGCAAATGATCCTTTGCAGTCCCTTCTCACAATAGTCTTTCCATAAAAGATAATATATGTATATATGTGGAAATGTCTACAGAATTAGGCAAGTCATTAATCAATGGTTTCCCCTTTTTTCTCCCTTCCCAAGTTTCTATCCCTTTTATCCAAGTTTATGGTATTGATTAATCAGCTGCAGAAGAGAAAAGGAAGATTTCAAGAAAGGGCAGAAAAGAAGCATCCAGTGACAGCATAATTCAGTAAACCACAATTCAGAAAAGAAGGGTTTTTCAGGAAAGATGAGCTGTTAGAAATAATGAGAAGAGAAAGTAACTTTGTATATACACAGAGCAACAGGGGCAGTTTTAGAGGAAAGCTGATGTTAGTAACAAATACCAGGCACTAAGAAATTACCTTTCAGCCCAAGGAAATGAAGCTGATAGTGGGAGAACCTGGTCACTGTCCCACTCAGAGTCAAGTGCTTTAGGAAAATACTCCCAATTTTGTCTCTTGGATAGGAGGCTTGGGATGCCACTAATGAAGTCAGTATCACTTTCAAAGATTTGGTTCAAATCCCAGTTCTATCACTACCTGTGTGATCTTGAGCACATTCTCAAATCATTCTGGGTGGGCCTCAGTTACCTCATGTATAAAATGAGGGGACTGCACTAGATAATGTATAAAGTTCCTTCCAGCTCTAAATCCTATGACCCTTAACGAATAAGCCATGGCCAACCGCTTCAGAGCCGAAGTCATGAGTGTGCACTACTGAGGAATCAGTTAAAGGAAGGGGCTGGAAGGAGAAAAGGTAAAACAGAAAGAGTCTGTTTGGTGGTCGAAGGACAAGGTTAAAAAGGCAGTGGAAAGAACACTGAATTTGGAGTCAGAAGGCGTGAGCTCAAAACCTGTCTCTGATGCTGGGGACGTTTATGACCGTGGGCGAATTAACCTTTCTGGGCCTCAGTTTACTCCTCTGTAAACTGATGCAGTACCAGACGGCCTCTTTAAGTCTCCGCTCTAAATTTATGACCCTAAATTTCAGATGTGCGCATGAGAGGACGGGGAAGCCCTTCAGACACCCAGAGACATGCACCCAAACCCAGCCGTGAGCTAGCCAGAGAGCAACGTCGGCGGAAGGGAGCAGGCTGGAGGCGCGGCCCTGACGCCCCTGGCCCGACTCGGGGCTCAGACTCAGGCCTCTCGAAGCCCCCCAGGACGGGCTCTGCCCCAGTTTCCCATCACCGCTCGCGCCCCGCCTCGGGGTTGTCAGTGTCCTATAACCCTGGGGAAAACGCCTGGCTCTTTGTTGCTCTGTCTGTCAGGGTTGGAGCAATCAAATCCCGTCCCACTGCTTCCCAGCAAGGCTTAGAGGCTCCCACCTTCACTTTGATCAGCATCTTCCCCCTGTAGCCAAGCTTCTTGTGGATGAATTGCTGCTACTGCTGCCGCCGCGGCTGCCTCCGCTCACCAGCACTCCGCCTGCAAGAGATTTCCGCTTCCGGGTCACCGTTTGGACTCCAGGCCTTTGGAGCCCTCCGATCTGATTTCCTAGCATCAAATGTTCGGGAATTCCGTCCCTCCCTCTTAGCGATTAGGTGAACAAAAAGGGCGACCGGTTAGTTATGTCGGACCGGCCGCCTTCGAGGAACTGGAAATCTCCACAGCTCGAATTCTTCCGGCCAACGAACAAAAGACTACATTTCCCATCATGCCCTGTGGCGGTCCGGCCAGGCCCGCTCCACCTCTGGACGTTGTAGTTTTTCCCACCATAGTTCTAACGTCTACCCGACTTGGTGGACTCGGTTTCCCAGAAGTCCACGCGAGACTCCCCTTAAGGCCTTAGTTTCTAAGGGAGTCGTCTTTGCCAGGTGAAACTGAGAGACCCCGAAGGGAGATGCGCGTGGCCTGTTGCTAAGCTAGTGGAACTTGAGTCAATTGCTAAGGTGGGTGCCGCACCCGGAAGTAGGTCCCTCTATTCCGGAAGTTGTCCCCCTCCTCTGTCACGTTTTTCACCTCTAAATTTTCCTGCTTCGGTTTGAGGGTTGCAGGGAGAAAAGGAGGAGGGATAATGTGGGAGAGGTGTGCTCGGTGGGCATAAGCGAAGCGTCACCTGCCATCTCCTTCCCCAATAAATACTTTAGTATGTCGATCCCTGAAGTAACAAACGGTAAGGTCAGAGGTTACACGAGAGCGAGGACTATGGTGTGACTTTTCGGGGATAATAAGAGAGCTACAATGTTGCAGCCCGAGCAAAGCCGTGGGACTATGAGATTGAGGATGCCTGGCTCACCACACCAGGGCACCCCCTCACACCTTCAGTCACCTCCCTTCTGACCTTCAGGTACCTGTTTACAGCCACGATCCCACCATGCCTCATATAGATAATGACGTGAAGCTCGACTTCAAGGATGTCCTGCTGAGGCCCAAGCGAAGCACCCTTAAGTCCCGCAGTGAGGTGAGGCTGGGAGTACTCCACTCTGTTATTATTGTCTATTCTACCTTGGAAAAGCAGTTTCACCTAGTGGGAAGTGTGTGCAATTTGGAAAGATCAAAGTTCAAATGCAAGTCACCTGACCTTTTTTCATATATATTATTATATATGTGTGAAAAAATATATATTATATACCATGTACCTAGCAGGATTTAAAGTTGTACATTTTAAAGCACTATTATTTTAAATAGCTATTATTACAACCTCTCTTCTTCCCCCTTTCACTGTGCAGGTGGATCTCACAAGGTCCTTTGTATTCCGGAATTAAAAGCAGATGTACACAGGGATCCCCATCATTGCTGCCAACATGGATACTGTTGGCACCTTTGAGATGGCCAAGGTGCTCTGTAAGGTAGGGTGCAACTTATTCTCTTCCTGAAGTGATCCAGTGACCCCAAGCTGTCTGCAGAATTTCCCTCTCCAAAGTCAGCTTTATACCATGGGCAGTCAGTCCTGCCTTTGGACAAGAGTAGACCAAGATGCACATTTGACATCTTTAAGGAGTTTTTTATTATTTTAGTTATAGAATTAACCATGTAATCTCTTAACACACCCACAAAATATGTAGGTTTTTTCCCCCTTTTCTCCCACCCCCAACATAAATACAGGCATGCCACCAATAGAATTGTTCTTAATGTCATTTCACAGTAACACTGTGAATAACATTATGACCAAATCCCATTGTAAAGTCACAAAACACTGTTGTACTATGATTTCTCCAGTCAAGTCACTCATTTATTCATGAGATTGCTTTTATGAAATTAACTACCCTTTGTTTTCACTAGAACAATTAATAACATTAGTGTATCCCTCTGTGAATAAAAGCACACCCCTCTACCTATGCCAATGTCCAGGCATACCTCCTCCCTTCTTTCATATGTCATAATTGTGGCAGAACCATAACTCAGTAAATATAGTGAGATCATTAACAACTTATTAACTAAAATAGTAATAAGCTTTGGGCAGCGGGACTGGTGTTAATTTTTGTATTGCATCCAATATGGCATGTTTTTTATGTACACAGCATCTTATTGAACATCCTATTTGAAGATTTTGCTGCTGACAATTTTACAACCAAATGCAGCCGGGAAGATAGATGAGTGAACTTTTCTACCCTGGGCCCATACTATAATCCATTGGTTAGTGGCTGTCTCCATCAATGGATCTGTCTGTTGGCATGCTTTTTTACTGCTGTAATCCTTTATAGCTTACTTTCATTTCTTGAAAAAACATGGCTTTGCTGTGTTTAAGATTTCTGCTCAATATGTCCTCAAGGAGAGTGGCCTCCGAGTCAAGGGTCAAGAATATGTGGGTTTAAGTCCCACCCCTGAAATATGGTAGTTTTGTGACCCTGGGCAAGTCACTGGACACAAATTAGTTCCTCCCTACTCCCAGCTCTAAGACAGTAACTTGCAGAGCAGGTAGCAGGAACCTGCCTGCCTGCATTGGTAGAGGGAGTTTCCTTACCAAGAGTTCCTTGCCTCTTGTGTCGTAAGCTGCAGCTTGCCATCAGCTAATGTGTGGAAGTTGTGCTATTGTCCATTTCCCATATACCCTTCTCTAGTGTGCCTTCCCCAGGACAGCTGGTTTGTGATGAGCATGATTTCAGTGCTAATGAATTGGGTGCACTGTCAGAGTTTGTCACACTGTATGATTTCTAGGATAGCTTGTATTCTGAGGAGTGCTAAAGAAACCAGATAAGATAAGTGTGCTACTTACAAGTCTCACAGCTATAACATAACAAAGACTGGACACATTAAGCAGCTGTACTGTAAATGTTTAGTCTGATGCAGCATTCTGTCAACATTTCCTAAAGGGAATCTTCATTTCCTGAACCCTGGTTTCTTGGTCTGTCAACATATTGTTTGGGATTATGTGGCTTAAGAGTGAACTGCATTGCCTGCTTTTAGCTCATATTGCTTCTTAACATCTTTAGTCAGGTAAAGGTTTTGTTGGTACAGGCTAGTACCTGACTTCTTCAGACATGATGACTTAACATTGAGTTAACTTTGCCAACCGCCTTTTCTTGCATGTTCATATGTATGAACTTCTAACAGTCATGGGCCACAAATATTGGAAGCCATTCAGTTTTTGAACTAAGGAACAAGGGATTTGGCTTGAAGGCTCATCATTGTGTCCTTGAACATGAATGTACATAGATATTTAATAAAATAGATCATCAGTTTATCAGGAAACAAAAAAATCTGCCCTTCTCCATTTCGGTGGTTATAGAGGATGTTATCAATGCCCTACTATTGTCAGACAGCACCTTAAGGGTATAAGGCAATTTCTTTGGGCAGCCAGTTACTGAAATGTTGCCAGTTTCACTAGACACAAAGACTATAGGGAAACATGTTAACTTAGCACCATTGGCCTTATAAAATGTCCAGGCACCTAGACTCTCACATTCTAGTTGATGCCTGCAAATTCAAGAGCCCAGCATCTTCACTGTTCATCTTTTGTGGCCCTGTGCCGGGGTAAGCTCACATGGTACTCCTGGAGCCCCTGCCAGCCTCACAGGAGGAAGGACAGTCTCTTGGTCCTGTCACACTGCACCAACTGCTCATTACCATATTAACTCCCTATCAGCATTGAAGCAGGCAGGATCAGAGTAGATGCCAGCAGATGGGATCCTAAACAGGCAGATGGGAAGTTACAAAACAGTTACTTATGGTGATAATCTTTGGTGTGAGGTCTGTGGTGGACAGAGGATTGGATTGTCAACTACAACTTCAAGCTCAGCTACTGACTACTCAGTTGCTTTTCCACTTCAACCCCAAAGGGGATAATTGCATAAAGACTTAAAGGAGAAAAGCTTTATAAGGAGGTTAAAATCATTCTGCTATCTTTGCTTCTCCTCAGTTCTCTCTGTTCACGGCCATCCACAAACACTACAGCCTTGAGCAATGGAAGGAATTTGCTAGTCAGAATCCTGACTGTCTAGAGGTAATGTGGGACCCTATCCTATTCTATCCCCACTCCCACCAGCCATATAAAGAATCTTCTTTTTCTTCAGGGATCCAGCCCCATCACTTCCAACTCTGCCTGCTTTCCCCTAGCTATATCTCTGATCCTTTCTCTTGGTCAGTTATCCATAATATGGTTCTCACCCATCAGATCAGAAATTTAATGGCCTTTTTTCAGTCTGTCCTTTGATAATCTGGTGACAGCTATGATCCTCTTCTCAGAATAAAGTTTGTTACTTACAATCATAAATGAAGGAAATGCTATTTCAGTTTGAGGTTGGTGAAAATAAAGATGTAATTTTTTCCACAAGGTCCCCTTATAGGGGTCTGCAGAACCTGTAAGAATCCCTGCTTTAGATACTGATGACTATTTCTTCTTTAGCATCTGGCTGCCAGTTCAGGAACAGGCCCTTCAGACTTTGAACAACTAGAACAAATCCTTGAAGCAATTCCCCAGGTGAAGTACATCTGCTTGGATGTGGCCAATGGCTACTCGGAGCATTTTGTTGAATTCCTGAAGGGTGTTAGAAAACGCTTCCCGCAGCACACTATTATGGTATGTCCTTGCTTTTGATGCACATTTTGGCAAATCCTGGCTTGCCTTCACCCCATCCTACCTGTTCCCCTTATAGAATTATAGGATTTAGAACTGGGGAGACCACAAAGATTATCTAGTCAAACCCCTCCATTTCACAAATGAGAAAACTGAGGCACAAAAGAGCTAAATACTTTGCCACAGCTCCTCCTTCTTAGAGAATTTCTGCCCTCATCTTATACTACTATGACTCTTAACTCTGCTCTAGTGCTTCATATACAGGGTGGCCCAGAAGGCTAAAGCTGCATTCTGATTTTGGAGCCACCCTGTATTTCTTGGTTGATAAAGCATGCCTGACACTTTAGCCCTTGAGAAGCTCTTGGCCTTTGTAAACCGACTGTCTGAAACAGCACTTTGCAAACCATTATGGAATCCTTTGCACCTCTGATACATATTGGTCTGCTCACTGAGGCTCAGGTGTGCCATGGACACATAAAAGGAGGTATATGGAACATATGATAGTTGATTCTTGCATATTATGGCTAATTTCCTCTTTACGCAGTATTTTAAAACTATATACAAGAGAATTCTGCAGGGTGAATGGCTGCCTTGCTTCATCATTCTGTAAAGGCTTGACAGGAGTCAGGTTAGAGTTGTGTCCGCTATGAGGTAGCCACCCACTCAGATCCAAGAGGTGGCCCCAGAGGGGGACTCCAGCTTCTTGGACCAGTCCATTTTCCTCCTCACTGAATTGTCCTCCATGTCATACCACATAATCCAACTAATCTTGGCATTGAGGCCAGTGGGCAGGCAGTTCACTAAGGTGGATTCTAGGCTTTAACCCTGGTACAATGGTGCCATGCCAATCACCAAGACTAGTTAATGCATATGAGTCAGAACTTGCTTAATACAACTGAAATAGGTATTGAAATGGCAAGAATATAAACAGAGGACACTGGGAAATGCCTGCTGGGCAAAGGAAATTGAAATGTATTCTTAGGGACCTTTCATAGCTAGAACTGCCACAATGTTGCCTTAAGCACAATCAAGGATACATTTTAGCTCTCCTTTAAAACATCCTAGTTCTCCATGGGAAACAATTCACCCTTTCAAACCCCAAGCCTTGTTTTACTATACCATTTTCCTTGCTCTCTGCCCCTCAGGCTGGGAATGTGGTGACAGGGGAGATGGTGGAGGAGCTGATCCTGTCTGGGGCTGACATTATCAAAGTAGGAATTGGACCAGGTAAGCTCTGGCCTCACCCTGTTAACAATACAAAAAGCAATTTAGCCCAACTGCTCTTCCTGTGATTTTAGACACCTTTCTCCCTGTCCCTGTCTATAGGCTCTGTGTGTACCACACGAAAAAAGACAGGAGTGGGCTACCCACAGCTCAGTGCTGTGATGGAATGCGCTGATGCTGCCCACGGTCTCAAAGGCCACATCATTTCTGTAAGTTACAGGGGAAGGAAGAGGGAACTAAGAGTCAGAACACATACATTTTCTTGGATCTGGGAATAAATGTCCAAGAACTTGGGGAATAGTGAGCCAAGACTCTTCAGCTCCTCCCCAATTTAACTGTCATAGGGAAATTTAATAGTTGTATGGAAAAAGAGGTCTAGGAAAAAAAGATCAGGGCCTGGACTATTTTGAGCTGCCATCTTCTCACTAGAGCTCCTCCCCACAGGATGGAGGCTGCAGTTGTCCTGGAGATGTGGCTAAGGCTTTTGGTAAGTAGTTGGGCTGGGGCAGTAGAAGGAGGACCACTTACGGTCAGGCCCAGAAAGGCCTTGGGAAGCCCTTCAATTTAACATATTCCATTTAGATCCTGCTGAGTCTTCTTAAAGCCTGTGGTAAGGGGCAGCTAGGTGGCACAGTAGATAGAGTACCGGCCCTGAAGTCAGGAGGACCCGAGTTCCAGTCCAGCCTCAGACCAAACACTTGACCCGCACTAGCTGTGTTAGCTGTGTGACCTCAGGCAAGTCACTTAACCCCGACTGCCTCACTTAAAAAAAAAAAGCCTGTGGTAAGAACCAAGGCCCTCCCACCCTAATGCCTGTGTAATTGGCAGTGCTAAACTGGAGAGGCTGCATGAGAGAGTGAAGACAGCACTTGATTTGCAATTAAGAAGTAGGTTGCTATCCCAGCTCTGCTACTTACTATGCTGTGACCTTGGGAAGGTTGGTCAACTTCTCTAGGTCTGTTTCCTCTTCTGTAAAGGAAGGAATTGGAGCAATTACCTTTAAGGTTCCTTCCAACTCTAAAATCCTATGATTTGACAAAGCTCCAACAGCCCTTAAGTAAGGGAATGATTAACTGGAAAAAGAGAAGAAAAATGTCCTGGAGATGGAAGCAACAGCAAGAGGGTGATTTTTGACTTCTAAGTCAGACGGGGAGCTATTGTCATTTCCAAACCCTGGGGCTAAGCATAAGAGTAATAATGAAGGGGCCAAAGCAGAGTAGCCTTCCTCAGCTTTTAGGGATTCTGGCTCCTGTCAAGGAAAGGGTCCCAACTATATTTAGGCCTGAGTGAAATTTGGTGTTCGGTGGGAATCACTTCTGTAGGGAACAGATGCCTGAATTAGACTGAGCCCTTTCCTTTTTCCCCAATGCTGACAGGAGCAGGTGCTGACTTTGTGATGTTGGGTGGCATGCTGGCTGGTCACACCGAGTCAGGTGGTGAACTAATCAAGAGAGATGGCAAAAAATACAAACTTTTCTATGGCATGAGCTCTGAGGTAGCCATGAAGAAGTATGCTGGAGGTGTTGCTGAGTACAGGTATGATAGTAGATAAGGTATACAGGTGTATTCAAGAACAGGCACTAGGATGCTGCTGAATGGCTCTTTAGGATACAACTGAGAGGGAGAGGAAAATCAGTTTTAAAGAAGGGCCAGTCAGTGCCTAACAGGAACAGACAGTGCACATATAAGAGGAAAAGTGGGGAAAGGAGACTAGGGGTCTGTGGCTGAGTGATTGGCAAGGAAGAGTGCTGGAAGCAGAGGAATAGAAGTTATAATAAACTCTTCTTCTGTTCCAGGGCCTCAGAAGGAAAAACAGTAGAGGTGCCCTTCAAAGGTGAGGTAGAACATACAATCCGGGACATCCTGGGAGGGATCCGTTCCACGTGCACTTATGTTGGGGCAGCCAAGCTAAAGGAGCTCAGCCGACGCACTACTTTCATCCGGGTCACCCAGCAGGTGAACCCCATCTTCGGCGATGAGAGCTAAGGGCAACACTGCCTGCAATGAATGGCACCAGCATCCCAAGCAGGGTTTGCATGGAGAACCCTAATGCTTTTCAGCCACCATGGATTATCTGGATCAGCGATTTGTTGTTATTTTCTGGTCCCCTTAGGGCCTTTTAACACCTCCATACTTACTAGGGAGGAGGCAGGGAGGGAGAAGAGGGTTATCAAATAAATATCGAGTCTGGAACTGAGTTATAAACATACTATGCTGAGATTTCCTGTATCAGGAGAGAACTCAAAGCTTGGGCTACATCACTCACATAACATTACTTTGCTTAGAAGTATCTACCTGAAAAAACTCATTGATTTGGATCTCATTGTTTATTTACCATATTGAATTAAAGTCTGGCCCTGGGCAAAAAGGCTCAAGAGGCAGTAGGTGCAAACCAAAACTGCCCTTAGGGAAGGGAATCGCATATCTTTAGAGGAGTTTTGGAGCTTTGGGCCCCTTTTGAATGGCAAAAGCCCACACAGAGTCAAAGAGGTGTACAGATGTACTGCTTAAAGACAGGGAAAGTTGGATTTCTCCAGAGGACATTGGAACATTTGCTCAGTTAACTAGGTTACACATTTTCAGGATGGTCAGGAACCTGGCAGAGTGAACAAACACACTTCACATCTGGGCAGGAGCAGAGTTTCAAGGCTAACTGCTCTTTCCTGTTGTGACTTAGTGCAAATAATTTAACCTTCCTGGCTTCAGTTTCCTCATCTGTAAAACCAAGGGAGTTAGACCAAGATTATCTTTTAGGTGGTGTCTACATCTTGAGTCTATTGTCCCACGTGTTCCATAGTACCTAGCTCTGTTTCATTCTTATTTGTGATGACAGTGACATTACCACTAGTATTACATTAGATTATCCAGGGTAGCATGAGACTACATATCTGGTACTTTGATTTGCAAATGAAAGTCATGTACAGTAGGATCCAAGATTCAGAGTTAACATGTCTTAGGTTGCCTTTCTAGGCTTTTGAACCACTTTGGGCCCAAAGCCAGTCATAAATTCCTAAGGTAAGGCAAGAATCAAGGTATTCTTCCTATTCTTGGACCAGGTGAAAAGAACTTGAATTTATTTGGGACATTGTACAGAGACCATACACCTTAGCCTGCCTTACCTCATAGCCAAGACAACATTTCGGAAGATTCAAAATTTAATCACTGGCTGTTACAAAAAAACAAAACAAGAAAGGTATGATAATGTGGTAAGGTAAACCCAATCCTGTGTCCCAAAATAAAGGGACCTAGCCCCCAGGGCAAGCCAAATCTGCTCAGTCCATTTTCCAATTCTCTACCAACTACAGGGTAGTGAGACTTCACCATAGCCACATCAAAGAGACCTAAGCCACTGGGTCTTAATGGGGCCAGTCTGGCCACAGGAAGGGGCCTGGGCAAGTACAGAACTTTGCTCAACAGGGGAGAGGTATTCGCAGAAGGTGGGGATCAGGGTGCCAAACTTCGTCTTCTGATAGCTTTCAAGAAACTTCTGCAGAGAGGGGATTATGGAGGTCCGGTCATCCTCAGTCATTTACTAAGCACCACACAGATACTATCAGCATGCTATCACTCTCTAGCTTGACCTTCCCTCCCAAGCTCCCAGCCCCTTCCCACTCACCTTCCCTCCCCTCTGGCCATTCCCTTCATCATCAGAGTCCAGAACCAAGTCCCCTATGGTAACCACAGGGCTGCACAGAGATGGGGAACACACTGTAGGAGGGAAACCAAAATCAAACCTGTTCCTTACTAAGGTAAACAGACAGGCCTTTGGCATCCCCAAAGATTTCAGGTTGTTCTCAGGAAGGGGGCATTCCCTTTCCCAACCCCCAGTTCAAAGCAGGGCACACCTACCTGGCTCCCTGGCCCCAACAGCAGGTAATGGCAGCCTCAAGGGCTCCAGGGAGTAATCCAGGCAGTTCCTGGGGTGAAGGGGTATAAAGGAAAAAAGAAAGGGTGAGATGGAGGAGTAGAGGGCAAGGGAGAGAGAGAGGAGCAATCTAGTGTGGGAAGGGACAACACTTCTTGACTCACTCCTTTTGCTCTGAGGAGGGCTCATCAGAATTCCAGTTCCCCTGCTCCTGAGCCTTCCCTCTCAAGGAACGAGCTGAATTTCTGTGCTTTCCATGAGGGACTGACCTTGTGGCCACGGTCCCTGCTGGGTCTGCCACAGGCTGCCCACATTCTTTATTGTTCCCATCCATAATTACATCCTGGACTGGTAGGCACATACTTCGGAATGGGAAAAGCATGACAGTGGGCCGCTTCTTATGACCTCCCCTGGTAGATGCACAATTTGCCTGGATTTGCCGGCGGCCCAGAGGGGCCAGGTTGAAGTCCCGACCAGTGAGGGCCTCTGGGGGTTTCCTCAAATCCTGCCCCTGGGGAAAGGGAGTGCTGGGTTTGGTTGTGGGAACAGGATCCTGGAATACTTGTTCCAGCTGGGGAGAAGTTAGAGGACTCTGCTCTTGGGTTTCTGCCCCCCTCACTGAAGTAAAAAGAGGGGACTCTGAAAGAGAAAAGGAAGATTCTTAAGCAAGGCAGTACACAAAAGACCATCATATAGTTTCTGTCCACTTTGAGCCAACCCCTTATCTGGGCCATCTCAATCCATTAATACTAACGGACTTTCCCCAAAGGTCCCACCACAAAACACCATCTTGCTGGATTACTGCCCCAACTGGCATCATACCTTGAAGTAGCCACCCCATGTCCATGCAATACTGAGTCAGGGCAAGGGGAAAGGGGACCAAAGTTTCAGATTGCATCCCTCTCAATACTTCCTTAAGCTATAAGGAAAGAGGAGAGATAGGAACATTAAGATAATATCAGAAAGTCCAAGAACTTCCTGATCTTCTTATGCCAATTTCCCCTCTCCTCCCCTAAAACAAAATACCTCTTGCAACTGTAATACAGGTAGTGTCTTCTCCAGTTGGCACAGGTATTCAAATAATAACTTCTCCAGGGCAACTAAGAAGGGTTCTCCATATTCTTGTTCCAGTTCCTAAAAGAAGGAACAAGTCAGACAAAAGCTGAAATGCATGAAGCTTGCCTAGTTAACTTCCAACAAAGCCATCTTCTCACCTGCAGCTGTATGGCAAAGTCTTCAGGATCCTCTGCCAGCTGTTTCACTCGTTGGCAAAAGGCCTCATGTGCCTCCATAATCTTCAGATCCCGCATAGTCTGCTGGGTTTGGGGGGGCGTAGAGATCAACCAAGTTAGAGGCACCAGAGTTGGGGAGTTGGGACGGTAGTTGGGGGCTTGAGCTAGTGGGACAAAAAGAACTACGTAGTGTCCAGCGACTTAATAACTAGGCCGGAGGATTCACTTACCCCCTTGGAGCCGAACTCGAGTGGGCCAGACTCTGGGAAATGATGGTTTAGGGCATCCAGAACGAGGGACCAGGGTTGGCCCTCCAAGATCATCTCCACAACCACCTGCGAGGAATACACTATCCTGTGCAAGATCCCCAAATTCCAACTTCTACCTCTCCATCCCACAGGCACCCCCTTCCTGGCCTAGCCCCGCAGCTGTCAGTGTTCTCATCCCAATGTCCAGGCTGGTCCAGAATCCCTTCCCAGGTACCTTGGCCCGCAGCCCCAGGCAGAGCCGCGCGTGGTGCCGGGGGTGGACCAGCCCCGGAGCGGCGGCCTTCAGGGCTCTCAGCAGCTGCAGCACTCGGGGGTAGTGCGCCGAGAGGCGCCTCCGTACCACCCACCAGGCAGCGGCCGCGGCCAATCGCAGCGAGGCAGCGGCAGCGCCGGCTTCCGAGGGGGAGGACATCACCCGCTCGGCCCGGCCCGGGAGCCTCTTTCCTCAGGCAGAGGGGTCCCTGAGAATGCCCATCGAGAGGCGGGGCTCCTGCGCACTCCCCGTCCCTCCCCTGCTCCAAGGGTGCGGAGGAGCTTCCCGGTGCCTGGCGGCGGGGGGGGGGTGAGGGATGGAGAAAGGAGGGGCGCTCAAGGCCTGCCGCCTGTGTGTGTCCAATTTCTTCCAGGGGATCTGCTCCAAACTGTGGGCCAAGACCCCGAAAGGGATGGAGAGTAGGATCAGACCAAGGTGAAGTGCCCAAGCGCCATAACAACTCCCAACGTCCAGCCAGCCAGGTACGCGCGACGACAGAAACTTCTACCGGCCGACTTCAGTGCGTCACTTCCGACTCTGGCCCCAGTTCTGCCTTGGGGACGTAAAGACGTCGAAAAAAAGCAAGCCAATTGGCTGCAAGGGAATGCGGAAACGTCAGGCTCACTGCTGGCGACACCCGATGGCCCCTAAAAGACCCAACCCCATGGTTCTGTGGTAGGAATTCCAAGTCACTGAAAGAACTTATGTGCGTATGCGCACTGAGCGTGGCTCTCGCTTCTCTGGCTTTTTCTTCCTTCTTATTCCGCGCTCTTTTTCGTGCGTCTGGTGCAGCTATTGCATTTTTTCTGGGCCAGGTGTGACTCCCTTCAGGCCAGGGTATCTTCATCTTTTTTTGTCATGGTACCTTTAACAGCCTAGTGAAGCCTGTGAGACCCCTTCTCAAAATAACGTTTTTAACGAATGGAAGAAAATGCTAAATTTCAGTTAAAGGCTAGTAAAAATAAAGGCAATTTTTCTTTCCCATCCAAGTTCACAGATACATTCCCACCCCCCCACACACACACACACACACACACACACACACACACACACGAAATTATCCCACGTAGATTTGTGTATTCATAGAATGCCAGAGCTCAAGGGAGGGATCTTAAAGGTACTCTATTCTAGTACTGCGGTAACCTAGGATTTTTAAAGCGTATAGCTGCAGAATTGGAGCCTTGGCAAGGTTCTACAAAACCAGAAAGGTGAGATTATAGATTGTGTTTTAGCCTAGCTAAATTCAGAGATTCATGGGGAGATGAATTCTTTTCAGAGGGATGGGGGCCCGAGGAGAGGGACATAGTAAATCATTCAGACCCTCTAAAGCCACGAAAGGGTTGTGTCAGGGTTGAAGGAGTGCCCAACCTGACGAAATCATAGCTTTTCTGAAGTATTGCAATGCCTCTCTAAATTCTCTGGGACCAAAAGTGATAGGAGCAGTTTCTGTCCACCTCCATCCTGGAGACCTCAGAATGGCCCAGGAATCTATTGAAACATAGAAGTTCAGCCAGAACTTTGTGAGCAGTGTAAAATAGTTTCCATGTGAACTCAACAAATTTACTTTGGATCGAGATGCCAGTCCCAAAATAGAGGGGTCAGATTTTCAGCTCAAGAAAGAAACAAAACAAAATAAAACAAGATAGCATATTATCTTAGGACATTGGATCCTAACCACAGGTCAAGAATCAAATTGGTGGCCCTGAGACTCTACAGGATCTGGAAGGATTCTTTTTTTTTTTTTGCTTATATATGTACCTTTTTTTTATTTAAATATTTTTTATTTTCTCCATATGCTTTTGAGTTGAAAATTTTTCTCCCTTTTCCTCCCCCCTCTCCACCCTCCCCAAGACGGTGCACAATCTGATATAGGCTTTACATTTACATACCCATTAAACATATTTTCACATTATTGAAGTTGTAAGTAAAAATTAAAACCAATACGAGGAACCATCAGAAAGATGAAACAAAACTCAACAGAAGGTAAAAATAAGTGATAGCGATTCGACTTCCATGGTTCTTTCTTTGAATGTGAAAAGCATTATCCATCCCGAGGCCTCTGGAAATGTCTTAGATCCTTATAATGCTGAGAAAGGTTCAGTTTAACAATCTTAGTCATTGCATAATGTGGCTGTTATTGTGTACAAAGTCCTCTTGGTTCTGCTCACTTCACTCAGTGTCAGACCATATAAGTCTTTCCAGGTTTTTCTGAAGTCAGCCTGTTCATCATTTCTTACAGCACAATAGTATTCCATTACATTCATATACCACAACTTGCTCAGCCATTCCCCAATTGATGGGCATCCTCTCAATTTCCAATTCTTTGCCACCACAAAAAGAGCTGCTATGTAATTTTTGTACATATGGGTCCTTTTCCCATTTGTTTGATCTCTTTGGGATATAGCCCTAGAAGTGCTATTGCTGGATCAAAGAGTATGGTATGCACATTTTTGTAGCCCTTTGGGCATAGTTCCAAATTGTTCTCCAAAATGGTTGGATCATTTCACAACTCCACCAACAATGTATTAGTGTTCCAATTTTCCCACATCTTCTCCAACATTTATCATTTTCCTGTTTTGTCATGTTGGCCAATCTGATAGGTGTGATGTGGTACCTCAGAGTTGTTTTGATTTGCATTTCTCTAATCAATAACGATTTAGAGCATTTTTTCATATGACTATAGATGGCTTTAATTTCTTCATCTGAGAACTGTCTGTTCATATCCTTTGACCATTTATCAATTGGGGAATGGCTTGTGTTCTTATAAATTTGTCTTAATTCTCTATATATTTTAGAAATGAGGCCTTTATCAGAGAGACTGGTTGTAAAAATTCTTTCCCAATTTTCTACCTTCCTTCTAATCTTAGTTGCATTGGCTTTGTTTGTGCAAAAACTTTTCAATTTAATGTAATCAAAATCCATTTTCTTTTCATAATGTTCTCTATCTCCTGTTTGGTCATGAATTCTTCTGTTCTCCATAGATCTGATAGGTAAACTATTCCTTGTTCTCCCAGTTTACTTATGGTATCAGCCTTTATATCTAAGTCCTGAACCCATTTTGACTTTATTTTGGTATGTGGTGTGAGATTTGGGTCTATGCCTAGTTTCTGCCATACTCTTTTCCAGTTTTCCCAGCAGTTTTTTTCAAAGAGTGGGTTCTTATCCCAGAAGCTGGGGTCTTTGGGTTTATCAAATAATAGATTACTATAGTCATTGACTACTGTGTCTTGCATATTTAACCTATTCCACTGATCCACCTCCCTGTTTCTTAGCCAGTACCAAGCAGTTTTGATGATTGCTGCTTTATAATACAATTTAAGATCTGGAATTGCTAGGCCTCCTTCCCCTGTACTTCTTTTCATTAGTTCCTTTGATATTCTGGACCTTTTGTTTTTCCAAATGAATCTTGTTATTATTTTTTCTAACTCTATAAAATAATTTTTGGTAGTTTGATTGGTATGGCACTGAATAAGTAAATTAGCTTAGGTAGGATTGTCATTTTTATTATATTAGCTCGGCCTACCCATGAGCAACTGATGTTTTTCCAATAATTTAGATCTGATTTTATTTGTGTGAAAAGTGTTTTGTAATTGTGTTCATAGAGTTCCTGGGTTTGTTTCGGGAGGAAGACTCCTAAATATTTTATAATGTCTACAGTAAGTTTAAATGGGATTTCTCTTTTTATCTCTTGCTGTTGGGCTTTGTTGGTAATATATAGAAATGCTGATGATTTGTGTGGGTTTGTTTTATAACCTGCAACTTTGCTAAAGTTGTTTATTATTTCAAGTAGTTTTTTACTTGATTCTCTAGGATTCTCTAAGTATATCATGATGTCATCTGCAAAGATCTGGAAGGATTCTTTAAAAGGCTGAAAAGAAATTTGACTGCATCTGGTTGGAAAACTTATAAGATTGTAGAATCCATCCCCTGTTCCTTTTTCTTCCAGTAGAAAACAATTAAAATGTGAGCCGGAGTAGGATCAGTGGTGGCTGGAAATCAGAGTGGGAAGGGACGTTAGAGGCCATAGAGTCCCACCGAATGCCTGAGCAGCAAACACCTCTACAACATGTTCAAGTAGTCATCTAGCTTCCACACGAAGACATCCAGTGAAGGAAAACTCATTGTCTCCTGAGACAGCTCATTTTTGAAACAACTTAACTTGTTAATTTTTTCCCCCCTTCTTTACATTAAGCCTAAACTTCTGCTCTGCAACTTACATCCTATTACTGCCCCTATTTATGCCTTCTGGGGATCGACAGAACAAATCTCCCCACTCTGTTACATGCCAACCTTTCAAATAATTGAAGACAGTTATGTCCCCAAAGTCTTTTCTTCTCCAAACTTGTAGGATTCAAATTAGGAAAAAGCCCTAAAAACAGTAATAAGTGAAAAGCCATAAAAACTTAAACCGTGAAAGGTGGAAGCCTGAACATGGTGACCTGTTTACAAATCATAACTTAGGTAGTAAATCATAACTTAGACACTGAGTCAAAACTTAAGATACTATGACCTATGAAAACTAAAACAAGACTATTATGACCAGGACATGATCAATACTCAAACTTATATTTGGGCATAACATTAGCTTAACTCCTGAGGTCATTACTAAGCAGAAAATAAAAAATGTTCACCAGTCAGTGGTGATGTACTCTAGCTCCTCCTGCTTTTGTCTGTTTTCTATAATTACCACAAGGATTTTGGGGTTCTTCAGTGGGGATCCACAAAACTGTCTGGCTGTTACCCCAGATTGAAGATTGCCCCTGTTTGTAAGTATTCATAATGATTCATTAAACTACTACCTACAATCAATATGGAACTACAGGGTTCCATAGCCAGGGGAATTTCAGACCTTACAAAATTAAGCACCATCTCCCTAACTTGATCCTCATCTCATTGTCTTGAGAATTCTCATCATGTTGGTCACCCATCTGTGTACACACTCTGGCTTATCGATGTTCTTCCTATAATGTGACATCTACAACCTTCCTTTGATTGACCTCACTCTTAGAAACTGTCATCTTCACTGAACTCTTTGTTAGTGTTTTCCCTTCTGTTCTCTCATCTGTCCCCTCTTTTCCAATTTCAAAGGCACACCACTAGAGTTGAGGCAGGTTTTCATCCAATTCTATGAAGTTATTTTCAAGTTATCATGAAAATATAATACTAGCTACCAACTGGGACCCTTGGGTTGTTGTTCTTAAGTGAGGTCTTCCTTAGACCTACAGAGATAGCTTGTGTTATTCAGTAAGGCAAATTTAATTAGTTACATGTGATATATGTAATGCCCAGCAGGTGGTGCTCTACTTTAACCATTAGTTATTAGTTATAATCTTGTTAGTTATTCTGGCATACGCCTGATAGCTCACCCTTTTCCTAAGAGGCTACAATTCTTAACTTGTACTTATATAGTACAGTACAGCATTTTAGACTGCTGATAATGCCTAGGTTGTCCTTCCTATTAAGCAAGCCTACACTATACCTGCCTGGATGCTAAAACCTCTTTGGCAGGTTTTATACTTAATTTAATATATTAACATATTTAATATATTAA